TGTTAACCTTTTGGATCAGCATCACAAGACGACATCACAGTTGCCATCACCAACACGAGGGCCGCCAACCATACAAGACTTGCATTTCTCTTAATAAACGCCATGACAAGATACAATGCTAGCTATGTATTGATATCCTCTCTTCTTTTTGCTGTGTGACCTGATCTGCCAAATGTGTTGACGAGCAACTCATTTTGCTAGCATTTATATAGGGGCGAGCACGCTACCGATCCTAAGTTTTATGGTGGTAATTAAATACGATCCTAATATTAAGATGGAATTAATGAATTGATTTATGCATATCCTTGGATAGATATACTACATACTTATCTCGTAGCTGATTTTAGGGAATGTACAATGGTTGATAAGATAGTCTAATCTTAAGTCTTGCGTGTAATTTGAAGATGACAAAAAAAGATGTTTATAATGGGTCATTTCTTAGTCTTATCTTTAATAACTAGTTATTTCTAAAAACATGGTGAGACATATTATGCTAAGAGATTATCTCTTGTCTTCTCTTAAATAAGAGAAGACAAACCTTTTCTTATGAGTTATCTCTCCTCCACCTCATCATTTATCCTATGTGTCACTTCTAAAATAGCACCATTGTACATGCTCTTATGGTGTGAATTGATTCGTTCCCTTTTTTGGCGCGGCTGGTCTATCTATGCAATATCCAATAAAAAAAGGTCTATCTATGCAATATCCAGTAAAGACTTGAAGATCTGTGTACAGTATAAGAACAAGATCTATTCAAGGATATACATAAATTAATCCATTAAATCCAGCCAGATCTTTCTTAATGTGTCAGATCTTCAGATATTGACAGGATATTGGATAGATAGAACAGGCGCACCAAAAAAGCAAACAAATCAATTCATTCTATAAAATTAGTGAGGTGATAAGTATGCACGTCTATTCAAGGATATACAAAAATCGATCCATTCATTCTAGCCGAAAATTAGCATGGCATTTAATTACCACCATAAAATTCATGTTGGTGATGGCCACTATGATGATTTCCTATGATGCTGACCCATAAAACTCATGTTGCCGTGTCTCCCTTCAAGAACTCTTCTCTCTCAAGTGGTGGCGTATATGGTGGGCACTCCCTCACTGGTACTTCGACTGTCGGTGATGGTTGTTGGTGTACTTCCCCTCCTGCTTTACTAGTGTCTTGCAGGAGGAGAAGTAGAACAACGACCCCCTACGACAACAGTCAGGATCCTTCCTCCAATAACATCGATCTATCTCAAAGGGAGCCCATTGGAATGAAAGTAAACCCTAAACCTAGAAGGCTCGCCTTCAAAGACTCGAGACCATTTCACCATAACCATAACCGTTTCCATACATATATCATCAGTACTACTACATAGTTAAACGACTAAAAAATACATAGATCATCACTATTACATAGATCAACATTACATAATTAAACAATACTACGATAGACTGGCACTACTACGGACCGAGTACTCTAATAGATCAAAATAAACCATAAGGCCTAAGGATCTTGATGGTTTCTGGGTCCGCTTGAAGCTCATCCTCAGAGATGAGGTCGATCACCTCTGGAGGTCCGATGGAGGGGGCTGCTTCAACGTTATTGCAGGTAGCTAGCTGCACGACCTCCATGTCATCATCGACAAAGTAGCCCTCCCAATCGGGATCATTGAAAGTCTTGTCGACCCCCGCGGGATTAGGGCATACATCTCAGTGTCCTCTTTCTTCCTCTGCTCCTTCTGCTTATTGGCCTAGAATTCAAGCTCCCCCACCATGCGGTGCAGATTGGCCTCAACGTACTTAGCCATGGCGACCTCACCATCCTTGACATGTCATGCGCCTTCTCCTTTTTGCGGGAATACATCCGGTAAGTAGAGGCAAGGAACCCCACATGCTTGGCATCTTCAGGGAAGTTGAGGTTAGTCGGGCCTCGACCATACATGCAAGACACCACATTGTACGCGTAGCTCGAGGCTATAGAACGTGCCGAGCCACAACAATCACCATCATAGGTGATCTCAGCAGCATAGCAGTGTGACTCCTGGAGTCAAACGCCACGAAACCTGCTCGCGGAAGGGATTGGCGCCATCCCTGCGACAACATTCCCTATGTCAAACATGATTTTGCAATTGAACAATAAATGATGAATACCCATCCATGTCACTTCCTCTCTTTAGTAGAAGGCTCGCTTATTCAACATGTGGGTTGACGTTCGGTCATCTATGCTCTCTTCAATAAATCCCATCTCTCAAATGGTGGTATATATGGTAGGGCAATCCCTACCTGGTATTTCCACCTATCTATGATGGTCGTTACACCCGTCCCTTCCCACGTTACCAAGGTCTCATTGAAAGGGACGAGGAGCAACGACTCCCTACGACAACAACCAGTATCATTCCTCTAAGAACACCCCCCATTTCTCTTTGTTATTTGGACCATCAGTGATGGTCGTCCTTCTCCTTCTCCCCTACTTTACCAAGGGCTCAGAGGGGAAGAACGAGAAGGAGCGCCCTCTACGACAACGGTTGGTATCCTTCCTCTGACAACATCTCTTACAAAGGGAGCACCGTCGGACTGAAATTAAACGCAGATATCGAATACCAATGCTGACATACGTGTGGCCCCTAAATCCCTAACCTAGAAGACAACTCGACACCATTTCACCCTAGTCCTAACCTGAACGCCAAACACGTTCAAGCTAGAGATCATTACTAAGCAGAACCATTTACCTATATAACTGCAGTAGCATATGAACTCTACACAGGAACCTATCAACATGAGCAGAAAACTATGAACTGTATAAATTGCAACCAATCTCTCATCTCACCGCCCTCCCACCCCTCCCCCACCCGAACCCTGCCCTCTCGTTCTCTTCCTTTCTCTCAAACGTCAGCCGCCACTCCCATCTGTCTCAATTCTCCCCTGATGTGTGAAATTTCTGCCCAAAATGAGAACAAATGTGTGCGCCGGCTGCTCGCGCGTGCAGCATTTTAGCACGCTGCTGGAGCTGCGCGTGCGCGCTGCATTTTAGCGCTATTGCTGGAGCAAGCGCTGCGCGACGCGCCAAACCTGACAATGGACGCGCTGCAAACCAGATTTTAGCGCGCCGCGCGTTGGACGCCTGTTGGAGATGCTCTAACAGCAGTAGCATATGAACTCTACACAAGAACCTATCAAAATGAACTTGTATAAATTGCAAACGATCACTCATCTCACCGCCCTCCCACCCCTCCCCCACCCGAACCATGCCTCTCGTTGTCCTCCTTTCTCTCAAACGGCGACCACCACTCCCAACTGTCTCAATTCTCACTTGATCTATTTGTGCCTCACTCCCAACCCTATAGTTTTTCAATAAAAAAATTATCACAAACTATATCAATCATCTATCATAAAACAAATATTAATAAGATTATTAAAACACATATATATTTAGCTGGATTCCATATACCAAAGTTACATATAAAATAAAGAAAAAAACACTATAGATATGCGAGCTTGATCGGTGCAGAGGGCGGTAACAGTAGCAGTGATGAGCTTGATCGGGTGCAAAATTTGAAGACGAAGGGATCGGGCGCATGGGTGGCCACGATCTAGTACTCCCTCCGTTTCTTTTTAGTCCACATATAAGGATTGGTCAAAGTCAATCTTTGTAGAGTTTGACTACCTTTCTATTAAAAATATAAACATTCACAATATGAAATAAATATTATCAGATGCACCATGAAACGCATTTTCATACTATATAGTTTGATTGTTGTAGATGTTCATAATTTTTTATATAAATTTGGTTAAACTTTATGTAGTTTGACTTTGACCAAATCTTATATACGAAATAGAAAGAAACGGAGGGAGTATAACTCAAACGTAAGTTGAGCGTCGCGCTAGCCGTTAAACGCAAGAAACGTAGCCGAGAGCCCTATGTAAACCGGGTATTTTTAAATTTTTTGCCAAGAATTTTGTGTAAGCCAAGGTGTTTTTCTACGGCCTCTCGACTTACTGGTATGTAAGCCGAGTTCACTTTTGTTACTGTGTGTGCTTTGATCGGTACTCGACTTACACCATTTCGAGAACAAGTGTTTTTACACTTGGCTAACATGCAGAAGCACGACAACGTGTGATTTTTTTTAGTGATATCTTGTTTTGTTTTATTACAATAGAGACCTAGGCTCACGCATATACATTCACCTCTATGAAAGCATGCATCCACAACCTATCCTTTTGAGCATCTTGAGAGACTGAGACGGCACATCATCTTGAGATTGACAAAGTTGTCATAGACGTCTTTGTAGTCGACAGGAATATCTACTCCAAACGAACTATCGTTGACAGGACTGAAATAAATCCAAAAACATTGCGAGCACAAGTGTCAAATTTAGCACTTAAACCCCGATATGTCGAGGATACCACTATCTCTTCTAGTGATATGTATCGATATATAAAGCACCAAAACATTGGAAGTCGGAGGAAAAAGAAAAGTACTTAACAACTGTATCTCATGAACTTTCTAGCCACATCCATATATTGATACATGCAAATATAACCTGAAATGCATCAAGCTAGGTAATCAGACAATTAGTGTGGTCAAAAAGATATCGAGACGTAGAGGGTGTTTGTTTTCAGGGACTTATTGGCTTAGGGACTTAAAAAAGTCCCTATAAATCCCATCTAAATCAAACAGGAGGGATTTATAGGGACTTAAAATGGGCATTTGGGACTTATGAAATAAGACTCTCAAGGAGGGACTTATAGGGACTTATAGGGACTTATAGTTATAATATAGTCTTATAGGGACTTATAAATCCTAGAAATCAAACAGGTAGGGATTTTTTAGGGACTTGGACTTATAAGTTGAGACTAAAAAAAGTCATAAAACTTATGAACCAAACGGGGCCGTAGAATTTCCCATGCAAACTAGCACTATTAGCCTCGATCGAGGCTGCGATGATAAAACACGAGCCTCGAGTGCGCTGGCGAAACGCTGACTGACATGATGACGCTGATCAGTTCCCGGCCGGTGGCGGTGGTGGCCAGGCGAGCTCGAGGCCGCCGAGGTCGTCCCACGCGCCGGTGAGGGAGAGCGCCCGGTCGCAGCCACCCCACGGCGCCGCTAGCCCGTCGTAGAGGTGGTCCGTGGCCGCCGGTGTCCAGGGGAACCCGCCGAGCCCGAGATCGAACTGCGGCAGGAAGACGGGGCCGCCGTCGGTGAGGAACGGGAAGACCGGCAGCGGTTGGTCGGAGAGAGGGCGCGTCTCCTGCAGGTCCGGTTGCGGCGAGTCGGAGGAGGTCGTCTGGGGTTCAGCGGAGCACTTGCGGCGCTTGCTGCTGCCGCGGCGGCGGCATGCCCCGCCGACGGGGACGTTGCGCAGCGTGCCGCCTTGCGTCCAGTAGCGGCGGCAGGTGCGGCAGTAGTGGCGCGGCTGCGTGGTGCTGTAGTTGTTGTAGTAGCAGAACTTGGTGTCGGTGGAGCTGCACCGCGGGCACTCCAGCTTCGGCTGCTGCTGCTGGCTCTGGCCGTTCTTCTTGGTCACCGCGCCCTCCTGACAAGTTCACCACGCGCGCGCATCAGTACGTACGTACGTCGCCTGCCGGAGAGGAGTAGCAGACAGAGTGAGCATGCAGTCACTGACCTGCGCTAGTGGAAGTTCAGCAGCGTCAGGGGTGGCGTCGGCCGAGCGCTTGGCGCCGGCGAGGAGCGAGGCAGAAGCTGGAGCCATCCTGAACGGAGCAGCGCATGCCGTGTCCGGCCCGGCCGGCTAAAAACGAGCTGCGGGCGCGCGTGGTGATCACCAGCTAGCTAGCTCTAACCGAGCTATAGTCGTAGCTAGCCAGTTAGCTAGGAGAGGTAGGAGAGAGTGAGCTGGATGGGCGGCGGCGGTGGCAATCAGATGATGGAGCTGACGGATCGATCGACGGGAGCGGCTGGTCCGGGCCTATATATAGAAGCCGGCGCGGTGGCGGGGCCCGCGGGTGACGCGGCAAGGATGCTCTCCTTGCGTCCGAAGGATGCTTCCTCCACCGTGCACGGTGCGCCTCCACCCGTGTGCGTCGCCGTCGCGTTCTATATATGTCTGGCACGACGGGCGACGCAGAGTGCAGACCCGACGGGCACGGACATGCGTCTTGGTAGGACCTGCCGTGCAGTTTACCGAGGAAACCGATCGTGCAGAGGAGACTGGAGAGTTCTCGGCCCGTCTTCGACCGTCGTGTGGAGATACAGTGATCGACGTAACCCGGTGGACCCAGCTATTCTGTACATACGTAACGTGATCCATGCAAGCCAAGGCATCATCGCATCGCATCGACATCGAGCTCACCGAGATAGCGGGCAACGACGACGACGGGGGCGGATCGGCGTTAATGGGGACGGAATCGAGCTGACGGGTGGTTGTACGTGTGCTCTGATCGTCGCGTTACCGTGAAGCGGCGCAGGGCCCGGCGGAGGTTGGCGAGAGAGAGAGGACAAAGGGGGGACATGGCGGTGCCGCTTTTTGTACGCGCCATGAGGGCGACGGAGCTGTCACCGTCGTGGGTTTTGTCTGTCGTAATCGCTGCGAGGTTGGTTTCATTCATGGCTGGCCGATGCTAGGCGCAGAGGGCCGCCTGAGCGATTCTTCCGCGTCTCTCGTCGACGACGGATGCGGTGGCTCCTCTACTGCTCGATCGACGGTGTCAAGGGTCAAGTCCTGTTTATTCTGCAGGTTCCGGATTTAGTTAATTTGGACGGTTTCTTTCAGTTATTTTTTCCACGTGTCAAGGGTCAAGTCCTGATGATTTTTGACATCTAAATCAAGTAAGATTTCCTCATGTCTAAATCTTCCGTGCTATATAGTCGTGCGCCGTAACTTTCATTCTTTTAAATTGGGAAACGTTTCCCTGCGGTGCGCCGGCCGAGCGTTTCAGCCGGTCACGTGCGAGTCGGGGCGCGTGGGAATCGAATCGTGCTGGATCCTTTTTACGCAGGGGTGCCATAACCACGGCCCATGTGGGCTGGCTGGCCCACGCCCGCATCCCGCTAGCCTTATCCTCTCACGCGAGTGTCTCTGCTTTCTCCGTCTCTCGATCCATCTCTTCTTTTTTGCTTCATGGCGACAGCGAGCCATGACGACCTTGGTGATGTGCGACGGAGGCGAGGCGATGCGCGATGGGGGAGCCACCTAGGCATCTGGTTGCAGCCGCAGCTCTGGCGAGCTCCGCCATGGCCGTGGACGCCGCGTGCTAGAACAAACGCCCACCCATGCTGGAACCAATAAGATCTTGGGTGCTGGAACCGGCATCATTTTTTGCTACAACCTATGAGTTTTTTTTGCTGGAACCGGCATCCCGTACAGACCCTTCTCGTCTACTCATTCATCCCCTACCTTCAGCGAGCGGCCAAAGCAAGTCGCCGGAGAAATCACCTCCACTTCCTCCCGAAGAACCCTGCAACTCCGGTGACCCTCGACTGGACGGTGGCGGAGGCATTGCAGAACCTGCTGCACGCGCTTATGCTACAACCGCTAACCAAAAAGCTTCAAATCGAGGTGAAAAAAGCTTCAACCAGATATATGAAAAGCTGCAAGCAGTCATCGCCATGGAAGGATGCTACAACCGTTGACATAAAATGTTACAACCTTTGATAAAAAAGCTTCAACCGAACGAGAGAGGAATATTTCACCCAGGCGTTGCTTAAAACGAAAAAAGTTTCAATTGTTTACAGAAAAGCTTCCATCGTAGAGGGAAAAAGCTTCAACCATTGAGATAAAAGCTACAACCGTATCAATTTTTTGCTACTACCGTCTGCGTGTTTTGCTACATCCATTCATGCGGCCATGGTGCTTTTTTACGACTGAAGTGTGACCTGCGACGACGAGGACGGCATTTTTGTTGCAACATCCTCGGTTTTTGCTACCATTTGCGATGTGTTTTGCTACATCCGATTAACACATTTGCTACAATGGCGGCACCGATGGATTTTTTGCTGCAACCGTTGTCTTCATTTGCTACGACTGACACGGGAAAATGCTACTACGGAGCATCTCTGTTTTTTGCTGCAACCAATCATCGGTGAGGCGGAGCTGCATCCATGGCACTCCGACGAGCAGCGGAGGCAGCGAGCGGTCGGGGAGAGCTGAGTCCCGGTGTGCGGGGCGGCCCCAACGGGCGTCCAGGGCGGCGAGCGATCTGGACGAGCTGAGTCACGGAGCTGCATCCATGGCCCTCCGACGGGCGGCCGAGGCGGCGAGCGGTCAGCTCCAACCGGCAGCCGGGGCGAGATGAGTGCCGGAGCGTGGGGCGGCCCCGACGGGCGGTCGGTGCGGCGAGCGCTCGGGAAGACGAGGACAAGGTAAAAATGAAAACAGCAGAGGAGGTCTAATCTAACGATGTCGCATAACAGATCAGGCGGCTGGGAACAGACCGGCCGAAACATTCGGCCGGTGCGCCGGCGCCTAGCGGTGCCCTTTTAAATTTTCTTTTAAGACGCGAGCATTTACATATATGTATGTATGCTCATCCCAACGAATGCACACACATAGAATCTACTTTTTTTTGGAAAGAAACTTTCGAACAGCCGAAGGGGGAAGTTCAGCTTTGGCCGGCTGCCGAAGTAATGGAACGCCGTCATGTCATACACACGCGCCGCCTACTCAGGCTCGTCACAATGGGGAGGAACTTAGGAGTAACATCACACACTCTAATACAACTTTGTTTATGTGGCACATATTTAATGAAGAGAGATGTGCTTGTGGTAACTAGCTAAGTTACCGGAACATCACACACTCCAAGAAACAATGAGTCTATAACCTAATAAATACATCATTGCATGACACTACATAGATGTTCCTACCCACTATGGAGGTAGTAACATAGTCTAGGGAAGCGTGTAAGTTACTAGCTTATGTTCTTGCCCATTGTGACCAGCCTCAATGGTGGCGACTGTGCCGAGTCACCGTTCCTCCCCTAGTGTCCAGATTTTTTTGATCTCCGTCGCCCAAGTAGCCCACAGTAGCTGCCCCATGCCGTGGCACTTTGGCGGTGGTCGCTGTGACATGGACCTCGAGGAGGCGGTGGCAACAGGCGCTCAGGATGGCTACACGAACGCGTTCTGGATGAAACACGGCTCGGCGGCGGCGTCCACCCAGGACCCGTCCGTAGTCAAGTACACTCGGCCACACCCCTTCGACATCGTCTATGGTGGACACCACCCCTGGTGTAGGTTCAGTCAATTGTCTTTGAGCTAATTTTCGAACATCATGTTGTTTTCTTAGAGTACGAAGGATGGCGGGGTACTCGACTATGGAGGATGAGTTGTCGTGCGATGTGTGCTTGTCCATATTCGCGGATTTCGTAGGCAAGTGCAGGGGGGCCTTCTGGCAGCGTGTGCATTATTCTTTTCACGCGCAAAAGCACATTACGCCCTACGGTATGCACATCATCCAACAACGCAATGTGAGGGCGTTATCGTATTGATGGTATGCCATCGAGACTTCCATCACCAAGTTTTGTGACGCGGTTGCTCAGCTAAGGCAAGGTGGCCATTGCGCGCGACAGAGGAAGGGATCGTAAGTTTTGCTTATTCTTGCTCAACTTGTTAATTGAATCATTCACTCAGTGTTGGTATACACATTATGTAGCCCGCACGTGCTACCATGATATACCACAGGACAGAGGGACGGTCATTTACGCGCACACACTGTTGGATGAAGCTGAAGACATAGTATTGTGGGACGACAGGATCCGTTCATGAACTACTTGTTAAATATCTGGTTAATCTCGTTGAATTCAAACTATTGTTGTACTAGATTTATTAGCATGCTATGTAGAAATGATTTGTGCTATTTTTATCCGAACTTTGATGAAATCCGTCGTGTTTGCATGAATTTTATCCAGTTAGTTGAAACACAGTTTTTAAATGTAAGCGAACATATACGGCTAACTTTAGATGGCCGGCTCCCGCATCCATATCCCTGGAATGGTCTCCCATCCGTGAACGGACACCGGAGCAAATTGCCGGGTCAACATTGGAACACGTTACGAGGCAGCTAACCGGTTGTCCTGATAATCGATCCAGTGTAAACGTGAGTAGGGTGTGTCGGCAGAAGACTTGCTAGCTTAGCTTCGACCTGTACCAGGAGTGCAAGGCTCGAGGAAGAAATCAGTAGAGAAATGGAACTTTCGGCAATCCGTATGCACGCACGGACGTCAACCGCTCCCTTACCCTTGACAGAATCCAGAGCCGTGGAGCCTTCCAATTCTCAGCTCCATCCACCCGTAGATCCAAGAAAAGAAGCTGGTGCTAAGGACAATTAATTGAAGAAAAAAAAACATGACGAATTTTTTGGGTGAAAGGCTCACACCGGAATAGAGTCACATGTAAGATGCTCCCTCTTTCCGGTTTATAAGGCTCAATTTAAAAATCTCATCAACCAAGATAGATGATGAGTGGTGGAATACTTTTTATAGTTTGCAAAAGCACCCAATTAATGCTCTTGTTTTTGTAAAAAAAAGTATGTTTACCAATGCATTAATTGCAATGCATGCATGCATAAATTACATGCATTGGTCAATTTTCTCTTAATACTTGCATGTAATGATTTAATGCACATTAAAATCTGAACATGTGATGGAAAACAACTAAATTGAGCCTTATAAAATAGAAAAACTAAAATTTTAAGATAAACTTTATAAACCGGAAAGGAGGGAGTATACGAGAAAACGGTGCCCTGCCGACCAACGC